CGTGACGTTCGAGGTAGTCCAGAAGCTCGCGATTTTTGCACCTCTCCATCACCTTACTTAAAACAGAAAGCAGAGCTATAGACCTGTAGCTGTAAGGGTCGGTCTTAGATTCCTTGTTTGGGATGGGTTGGACATGAGCAAATTTCCAGTTTTCTGGGAAGGTGCCGGTTTCATAAGATATCTGGAAGAGACGCGAAACAACTGGAGCAGGCTACGCTGCACACCTCTTCAGTACACTGGCAGGAATAAAGTCCGGACCAGAAGCTTTGTTGATGTCGAACGACAAGAGCTCATCTTACGGACTTATGCCTGAATGTTACCTCCCGCATAGTGTAGGGAACCCTTTGAATTGACGGCACTTGGGCGTAGGGGGGGACTTCCATGGTGGAGTTGGCAGCTAAGATCTTGGCTAGCACTTCCGCCTTGGCCTTTGAGTTGAATACAATAGTTCCATCCTGACACGTAAGTGGTGGAAGGCTGCTGTGTGAGAAATTATTTTCAATCTGCTTGACCAGCGTCCAGAAGGACCGACTGCTATTGCGCTGCGACATTACCCTGTGCCTAACTGTTATATCGTGCTGTTTTTGGCATTGCGAACCGCTGCTTTATATTTGTTTCTGGACTCAACGTTGGCTCGTCTGTTCTCTACAGTGGGAATTTGTAAGAAGGTTCTGTGTGCCTTCATCTTCTGCTGACGAGCAGCGTCACATGATTTGTTAAACCAGCCGTTGGATCCTGGTCTAGGCACTTTCACTGTGTGAGGGATGTATTCCTCCATTCCGACGTGGATAATTTCGGTTATCGAAGAACAGACGCCGACGCATCCGCGTTAGTGAAACAGACATCTTTCCAAGGAAAGGGACCTCGGTTGGCCGCGTGGGTCAGAGTGTCGTGCTACTGATCAGCCGGCCGGCCGGGCCGCGAGTTCGAATCTCGCCTTCGCCATGGATGTTGTGTGTTTGTTTTAGGCAGCAGCGGTGGCCGCAGTAGTAGACTCTTCGGTCTCCTGATCAGCCGCCGTGCGCTGTGCGGGTTCGAGTCCCGTCCCAGGAGAAATGTTTCTCTTGGCCATGGATGTTGTGATTGTCCGTAGGTGGTAGATGGTCTCTGACTGTCGAACGTGGAGGTACCACCCGGCGGTCTCGTAGGCGGAGCCAGAATGTGTGCATGTTGCATGCACACGTGTTCCCTCGCCAGAGTCCGTGTGGCGTCCCCCCTTTCCCATGTATCCCCCATAGCCCCACGGTACCCAATGGGTGCTTAGGCCTTAGGCCTTCGTGGTAGTTGGAGTATAAAAAAAAAAAAAAGCTAGAGAAGAAGTCTCTGAGCCCCTCCCAGTCGGCACGTCCGTAATGCCAAGTTTTGCGGCTTGTACGAGTTTCTGCTGCCACAGCGATCACTCAGCCTCACAAAACTATGCAACCAATAATGCGTAGTTTAGTTGAGTGATTCCGCCAGAGCTGGACGTTCACAACGATCCTAGTGAGCAAACGGGGAATGACTGTTTGCGCCCTAAAAACTACCTAGTCTGCAAGTTGACATCTTATAGGTTTTTCTTTGGCGTTTTATGGGTTTTTACATGATACCCGTGCCGTGCGGGTTCTGGCCGAAACCTAACCTCCACAACACCGTGGTCTGAGTTACCCAGGGGGGACAGGACAGCAGTGTCAGTACTATCATAGTCTTGCTTCTGAAGTAGGTACTGCGAGATGGTTCGGTCTTTATTCAAACTTGTACTTATTAGCTATAAAAGTAGCCTTTCAGAGGCGGATCCAGGGGGTGTCCTGCTGGTCCGGATCCCCCCGAAATCTCCGAGTTAAAAAAATTCATCGGATCGAATTTGCAGACCAGTAAACGATACCCCCTTTCCTCAAGACGGACAGGACATCTTCCTCAACGCAAATCCCATCCAACCCTTTAACATTTTTTTGTGCGCGTAATTTTAAATTATCATTTGGACCTCCAAAATATTTTCTAGATCCACCTCCGGCTTTAGAACTTTGGAGTTCAGCTGCACCTCGCTCAGAATGTAACGGCATTAATGTGATTACAAACCGTACATCATTTGATAATAAAGCAAAACAAAGGGTGCAGTGGATACAACACATAAATTGACAAAGGAATTCAAGACTCAAAGAAAGAGTAATCGTTGGCTGATAGCAATATTTTTCATCTACTGGACAGTGGTGGCATCAACGCCTATAAACTATGTGTGTTGAAAAATCCAGATTGGAAAAAAATCGTTTGGATAGAAGAAAAATGTTTTTGTTGAAGTTGGGCCAAGAATTAATAAGGAAAACTATAATTCATAGTTACCATAATGACAAGCCTTTACATTCCAATATAAAATAATCCATGTTAACCATTTTTTCAGAATTAAATGTAAGGAATGAACAACCTGTGCCCGATATTGGCAGACAGCAGCGATGTTTCTTATGCGACAGACGTAAAGACAGGAAATCTCGAAAGTTTTGTTTTCGGTGCAATCAGTACGTATGTGCAGAGCATTCAAAAAATGTAACAGTTTGTAAAAGTTGTGATAATTAAATTTTTGTTTAAAATGTCACAGATTTTATATTATAATGATTTCATATTATTCTTCCAAATGTGTTTAGTTTTCAATGTTTACAGCATACCCATGTAAAGATATATATTTTTTTAATTAGGATGTGTTTATTTTTGATTAATCACAAATAAAAAAAATAAGAGAAAAAATGTTGGAATACATTTGCACCCCACTCGGTACTTACTTTAATTTTTGACCATGGGATTATGAAGGTTAACGATTATACAGATGCGACAGGTACTGTAGGCCCCTTTGATCTTCGAGTCCCCAACTGTTTAGCGCGTTCTCTTGTTGATTGCATGGACGCCCGGTGTGGTTACGCTATTGTTTGACGTCACGAGTGTCATACGCCAAGCTACAAAATCAAGAAATTGTTTTATTCACACATGGCAAGATAATTTTTAGAGAGCATTTTTATATCGGATATAACCACCAGCAACAGTAGAAAGTAAAAGTGACACAGTAACCGTCGACAGCGAACCGTATACAACGCATAGGACTCGAGTTAACGTTGACAGAACTTGTTTCTTGACAGGCTGTCGCCTCTGGTTGTACTCTGTGTCATCACATACATCATAATCTTTTGTATTCATCTTTGAACGTAACTGGCGTATTGTTAAATATCGGGTAGAAATAAAACATATATATGTCAATAATTTATTTGGATACCAGAAAATTTCAATAAAACAACAAAATGAAGGACAGATCAGGATTATTTATTTTTTGTTATAATAAATATAGCCTTATGTTGCTAAGTATAAAAATAAAAATATATTCTTCGTATTAAGAGTAAAAAAATAAGCATTATTTCCATGGCGGCTTTCTCATTTTCTTATCTTTTGGTGCAGATTTGAAGAAATTTGTACTTTCAGGTTCCTGCAATAGAAAATAATATATGAAGCAATAGAATCAGTTTGAATGTCGTTTTACACAAAAGTGATCGCTAAAGCAATGATTTTTTATCGGTAATTTCCTCTGTTCTTTTTTTAATATATAAATATGCTTATTAAATAGAAGGCAAAACGTGTCCAAATTTCCGCATTTCCGTAACGGAGGCTCTAAACGGGTGGTAACATATTTTTGTTGCAATATTTGGCTATTACATATGTATTGCATACATAAACTGTCAGAATTTTGCATCAGAAGCGATAAAATATCAAGCAAGATGAACGAAACTGTAAGCATCGCGGCAACTTGCGTTAAGTAGAATGGCAACGATGTCCAATTTTGCTCCCGCTAGGCGGCGCTTATGTAGTTGGAGGTCAGATGTGATAGAAATGTATCATTTTTAACGTCTTTGACGTAAACAGCTGATAAGCAATTGACATAATATATAAGTGAATTTTTTGTGGTGGATCTGATTTAAGGTCGACCAATTCATAACAAAACGTATTCTATTCAGAACAATGACGTCATTGTTAAGATCTGGTTCTAAATTTCTAGAACCAGCCCAGGAGGCAGGCTCCGATTCTGGCCTTTGACGTCATAGATTTGAAGTGAATTTTAAATATGAGTAATAATTTATTTAACTTCCATGTTCTGAAAGTCAAAAAGCAACAAGCATGATTTAAAAAGTTTAAAACTTGCAGAACAAACAATTATAGTAATCAAAATGTCAGGACGAATCAATTTGAAAACAGGTGGATTTGATTGCATGTCGCAAAAACGCTATTAATTACGTCATTATCAGAACCGTCTCCGACTACTGTCAAAAAGTTCCGTCGTGTTTTATGTCAACCTAGCGGTTGAGAAAAGAATTCGCATTATGTCTGTTTATGACCTTAGATATGACCTTCATCTTAGCTAACGTCATCTAGCTTCTAGCTTTCCAGATTACCCCTCCATTCCGTTAGCAATCAATATCAGCAACATTGCAATATAGCCAGTCCATACTCAAAATGTTGCCACATGTTGCTGGCTACACTATTGCAGCTTGATATGCATTTGCTGATAGTTAACATTTCACAAGATATAAATTCGAGCTAAACCACCTGCATTATTTGACCATTTTTGTGGAACTAAATACAAAAAATAATTACATTTAATGACCACAATCCTGTATCTATGGCATCATTACCTCTTTCGCCCCTGTCGTCACTTTGCTTGTTTTTGTTCAGCAGCTAAAAAGAAAAGCAAAATAGTTATTGTTGTCTTTTTACTATACGCTCACATACACCCATGCAATATATCTTTTGGAGCTTCAGTTTTATTTGAAAATAGTATGAACAGGCTGAGCTAAATAAATGCACTATTTCGATTCTGTTGGTGTTGGTAAAAAGCACACTTTTCGATTGTTAACACTCAGTTGTATTTGATTTGAAACGTTTTACGTGGTGTATAATTGAAAGCAAATGAATCGAGAAACCAATCTGACGTTTTGGAGCACATGGTTCATAAAGTTCCATAATACACTAGCATCATAGTCAAAAAGCAAGGTTAGGTGCCGTGATAGTGAATATCAATCACTCAATGTCAAGATCAGTGTGACTCTATGGCTGTCAACTTCATCTTCAAGAAAATGCGTTTATATTATTAGAATAGGCACGCTGAGTCAGAGACTAACACGGATACAAGGTGTTGTCACAGTTGGGACTTTCATTTATAGAGCGTATGGGTTATGCAATAATAAGCAATTTTTCCTTTGAGGTCTATTGAGGTGAACAACTGAACTCTTTGTATTAAAGTATGTAGTGTTGGCAATAATGAATCAAGTGTGAATCGGGCAAAACTCAGGACCATATTCAGAACTGCTTATACCAAACAAAGTCAAAAACTGTAAACAGTTTGTTTTATTGCTACCTGACTTGAAATATGAAAAGCGATGTTACGAAGTATGGATCTGTGGTGTACAAAATACCATAGGAAAATATGACTAAATACAGCTTAAGGTTAATAGACGTCAGGTTTCCGAAACTATCTGAATGGGCCACTCCGGTACTGCTGCCACCGGGAAAAGGTACGACTATCGATTCATTTTGAAAAGTAGTAAAGTATTATTATTTACAACGATGACTGTCATGTATCCAAATTTAGAAATTTTCGAAAGGTACGATACACCCTGGGACGCACTCTGTCTTTCCGTTGTCATTTGTTCATTGCAATGTCCGTGCAACGCGACTCGTCACTGATCAGTTTCTGGTTCGTTAAAGTATGTAATATAAATATGCAACTTATAATAAAAAAATCGCGGAAATATTTACCACGATTAAATGTATGGCTAAAATGGTTCCCTTTGAGCTACCTACCTACACAAAAGTAACTGAACTGGACTTCCAAAACACAGAATAGAGACAATGTTAATTTCAAAGTAGAATGATAAAAATAAAAAAACCCAGGGAGAATTGAAGATGAGGTAATCATGGAGTTAATGGTTGATGTATAAAATAGGATCAGGATTACCGAGAAAACTAGATTTCATTTAAATTAAAGCATATAGAGAGTAGTATTTCATAAAGATGATGCATGATGAATATAATTTACATATTTCTTAATATAATTAAGGTTTGTTTTAGGTAGTAAATACTATAGCCATTGTCTCAGTAATATACGCAAGAAATTAGTGTTTATAAAAAAAAGATCGATTATCGGAAGAGTTCGATAATTGCATGCCCTAGTTAGTGTCCAAATCAGGTGCCGCGCGATGTATACGTTAACCTAACAAATCTGATTTGAAAAAATATAACCTTCACGAGTGTACTCGGATCGTTTTTTTGCTTGCTTTTTTCTTGAGCCGCGGTGTTTATTTATATCGTGCAAAAGACGTAGAGGTGGACACAGATCTGCGAGGTCTGCAAATTAAGTGATAATGTTCTTCCACTCCTCATAGCAGTGTTGGAACTCCGATACTGGAACAGCTGGTCGCTTACTGCTGTTTTCGACTGTCCCAAAATGAGTTTGCTTGAGGTGATTTCTTAACTTCGGGAAGAGAAAAAAGTCACAAAAGTTCAAGTCAGGCGAATAGTGAGGCTGAGGAGCCACAGGAATTTTAACTCTTTCCCGATCATTCTGACTGTCAACCGACGATTTGAGCGCACAAGATTCCCGATTATGTCGATATTTCCATTGGTCCTTGAAGATGAAGGCCTTCCGCTACGCGTTTCATCTTCAATCGACTCTCTCCCATCTGAAAATGCCTTAAACCTGACCTCTTGACAAAACACTATCTCCTTATGCCTGCTGAAGTTTAGTAAAAGTTTCCGTTGCACTATGCCCAAATCTGAATCAAAACTTGATAGCACACCGTTGCTCGAAATTGATGTCATTCATATTTTGAACACAATAGAAAAAACTGATTTACAAAAAAAATCGTCAACCAAAAGACTCTAGCGAGTTCAAACTTGTATAGAAGGCGGATCACATCTTCTCCTGTCTCTCTTCCAAGCCCGGCGCCTCAAGCATTGCCAGATCGAACGCTACGTTGCCAGTTTCATCACTTAATTTAAGGACCTCGTAGACAGCCGCAAATGTTGTTCTATACTAAAACCAAGTCCAAGATAGAGTTGAACATAACAAACGGCAATCGTGATATTCACGTGATCGGCCAGCAACAGGTGGACACGGCAGCGCTCATTGGTCAATTCATTGGTGCGCCGCGGTGCCGCCGTACCGCTGCCGCGTCAGTACGGGATCAGACGTAATACAGAGTCGCAATCAGGCGTTTGCATGGCGTGTTGGCGTGCATCCTGCTTTTTTAGTATCTATTCATTTCGCAGTTTTCATTTGCTTTTGTTAAGTTTTTATTGTATTTGCTGGATTTTTTATAGTTATTATCATTTGTTACATATTACTGTGATCTGTAATCCAAGATGTCCAGTACAGATACTGCTGACGAGACTGTTATTTTGAATGTGTTCAAAAAGGAGATATAGGAAGATGGAACATCCTCGGTCGAAGACGGCTCTTCGAAATTTGCTGATAGAGTTGGAGTATGTCACGCTTCGATTTTAAATGTTTTGAGGGAATATAAAGCTAATCACACATTTTCCAAACCTAAGACAAATCAAAATCGCCCAAGCGTTATAAAATCGATAAATGAGGCTGATAAACATGCAATAAGGAGGACAGTGCATGAATACTTTTTTAGAAATGAAATACCCAAGGTGGAAAAAGTACTCACACAAGTAAATGCAGATACTATGTTGCCTAGTTTCAAGCGGTTTACATTTACTAAATTGTTAAAAGATTTAAATTTCAAATGGAAGAAACGAGGACGCAATAGTTTACTGTTGGATAGGGAAGAACTCATAATCTGGAGAAGAGAATATTTGACCGAAATCAAAAAATATAGGGAGCAAAAAAGGACAATTTATTATTTGGATGAAACCTGGGTTAATGCTGGTCATACTACTCCTAATGTATGGGTCTATGAAACCGTGACCTCATCTAGGAGGGCATTTCTAGATGGACTGTCCACCGGTTTGAAAAATCCATCAGGTAAACTTTTAATGGTAACTTAACAAAAGATACTTGAACATCCTTTAAATTATTTTGTCTTTCAGAGTAATTTGATATTTCAGGATATAATCAAGAAAACGTTAGCTTTTCTTAGCTTGTATATTTTATTTAATTGAAATCATTTTGTTTCTACAATATTTTACTTCCCACCAGGAATTCCGAATTTAAAATAACATTCATGACACTAGTTTACGTCGGTCTGTCTGTTGGCTGAACAGTCTTCTCTTTCCGGACTTAACTACGCGTGCTATGTTTGTATCTGAATTACATCGTATTGTTGGCGAACCAGATTCTTAGAACCTTGTATCTTACATTGAAGTTCTGCCATCTGGGCTGTCAGGCATCTGTAGCTCAGTGGTAGAGCATCTGCGCGTAAAGCAGAAGGTCTCGAGTTTAAATCTCAACGGAGGCCAGTTTATTCTTCCGAATTTCAAAAAATCCGATTTCAAGTGTGTATTTTATCACTATGGTGTTTTATTAGGTTACATACCAGTTCTCACTTCCAGGTAAAAGAAAAAGACTAATTGTTACCACGAAGAAATGAATCATTCGAAAAGTGGTTTTCCAATGTCCTACCATACCTGGAAGACAACTCAGTAATTGTACTGGACAATGCGCCATACCATTCTCGACGAATAGAGAAATACAAAATTGGTTGCGAGCAAAGAATATCAGCTTTGAGGACTCAATGCTAAGACTCCAGCTATTTAAAATTGTCAAAGAGCATAAGGCTGCCTACGAACAATATGCAGTCGATGAGATGGCAGCAGGCCATAACAAAATAGTCCTTCGTCTGCCCCCATATCACTATGAGTAAATCCCATCGAGCTCGTATGGGCGGATGTTAAAAACTTTGTGGCACAGCATAACACTACGTATAAATTTGCCGACTTCAAGGTACTTTTTGATGAAGCCCTAAGCAGAATCGGAGCCGAGAAATGGGACAAGTGTGTTCGGCATGTGGTAACAAAAGTCGAGACAAAGATGTGAGAGCTCGATAATATTTTAGAAAGACAAGTCCAACCACTGATAATTGAATTTGGCCAGAATGATACAAGTGATAAGGATGACAGTTCAAGTTCAACATTCTGATAAACAATGTTAATAGTTGTACGTAGAACTAAAATGATTACATTCCTTTTCAAATGGCGTTTATGATTTATGGAAAATCCAAGTCTTTTATAGTAGCCGCATTTTGTTATAGATCTGCCATATTTTACTTCAGTCGCAATCATGAAGAATTTTTTCTAATATATAGCATCCGCAATCGATAAATCGTTTGGCTTCATTGAATCATCGCAAAAAGGTGCTGAATACGACTCTGTACAAACCGTCAGCCTTCCAGATACGTGTGCGCAGTGCATGACTATGTTTACATCAACTCTATCTTGGACATGGTTTTAGTGTAGGAAGAAGTTAACAAATTTGTGTTTTTGAATCGAATGACGATAACTTTAAACAATATTTATGTGCAACATGTAATACTTGAAAATGTTTACCAAATAAACAGTGAGTTACTTTTCCTCAACTTCTTTGTACCTTTGTTATTTCAAACTTTATTGGTTCAACAAAGGAAAGTCCCAACTTTCGGGACACTGAATATTATAGAGAGAAATATAACTGCCTGTACTAACGCCACACCAAACAACAAACTCATGTATTTCAATGATTTATTAATTGGGCTCTAAATGACATATCTACGTGTGCATTATAAAAGCATAATCCTCTTCAGTATGGCCGGAACTTGATGCAATATCAGGAAAATCAATTTGATGCCCTATGCGGAAAAGCATGATTTATACGCTTGTTTCAGTAACATTCATTTCTTTGCACAGTGAACTCACCAAATTGATGTATTTCTGAACCTCAGTCTCACTGAATGGTTTATTACAGTTGGTTTTACTTGATACCGGAGTGTCGCCTATGTGCTCATTGCTTGTTGACGTACAAGTTCCCTCGTTGAGATTTTCATTCTTTTCTGGATTTAGACCTTGCTGGATAAAAACCTCTTCTACATTGTGATACGATCTAGAAATATTTTCATAGTTTTTAATCTAACAAATCTTGTAATGACTTCATTCTTAAAACGCTCGTTTGCAAAATCGGTGTAGCCGTTACTGAGATTGTGCAGTTAGAGAGGACATACACAAGACAGACAGATAAGGTTTACACTGATGTAGAAACTAAAGGTAGATAGTGTCTCAAAAACCACTTTAAAAATGAGCATTGTCTTTTGTTAGAATAAGTTTTCGGATGAAATTACCCATCCCAGAAAAAAGACTAGAGGATGAGTTATATATTATATCATAGTGCTTACTTGAAAAAAGACTCCTACCATATACTTTTATTTTAAAGAGATTAAAACAGTTTGCCATCATTCCAATACGACGAATCGAGATACGAAGTAGCAATGAAAATATTTGGGAAAAGCACGTCGAAATAAATAGTAATTCTTTAAACTTTACTAAAACAATCCAGGTAAAAAATGTTCAAGTACTGAACGGTTTTCACATTTGTGATAGAGTAAACTTTAATATACAGTAGCAGACAAAAGTTTGGAAATGAATATTAACATTATTATGAACTATTTCATATACCTAAATTAAAATCGTGAAGGAACAGATAATATAAATACTCAAGTCTACCTTTGACTCCCCTACTAAAACTGAGAAACTCTACTCTATTGGAAGTATATAAGGTCTATCAAAATAAGACAGCATAAAGTGTCTTGCCCGTCCATCGAAATACTCATACTACAGAAAAAAGGTAAGCCCATAAATATAGGGAAGTTTCTCCGTTTTTGCCGTATAACTATGTTTATAGTATGAAAAGTCGGAACCGTTATTGAGAAAAAACAAACTACTTCCTATATGGTGGTATATACCAGGCCACAAAATGAAATCTCTGAAGTAGCGAGTCGAAATTCTACTTAAAACGCCACAAGAACTGCAAGGAAGAACTATCAAATGACCGCGCTAATCACCTTGTCTTCAATGAATTCAACTGATCCAAAGTATTGACTGCCTTATCGTCGAACGCAGGACTCTTAGCACTAGTGATAATTTTCACCGCCTCTGCCCATTGAGCTTCCATAATTTTTTGCAGCTGCCTGGCAATTTCCATGCGTTTTTCCTGGAGTCTGTCCAATTCACCCTGCAGATTCGCAGCCTGTTGCTTGTACTGCATCACCTGAATTTGATGTAAACGGATCTCCTCTTGATGCTTCTTTTCCAAAAGGCTGATTTCCAAGGTATACCTGAAAAATGTATAAGATTTCATCTTTATTCCTCGCTTTATGTTCTGGAAGATAAACTGTTTTTAAAGTTACAATAGGGAATATGCATGTTATTTACAGACCATATTGCTACAGAATGACACGTTCAACCTTATTTTATACTTGAACGGTTAAATGGGGAAAATACGCGGCAAATACAAAATATCATCATTTCGACCTGCGACCAGCCAACTCTTTGTTGATTGGTCAGTCTGATTTAAAATATCGGGCCTTTGCTCTTACTGTCATTGATTGCCAACCTACATCTTACAGAATTATTTTTGTAATATAATGTAAATTATAACTAATCATATTTGGGCAAAATTATAGTTCAGGAATTTGTACTTACGATAAAATATCTTCACAGCAATATGAATTACTTTTTGCAAATATATTGGCCCCTTCTTTTAGCTTAGTATCTCTGGGAATATGATAAGATACTTTATCCGATGATTTTCGTATCGTATTTTTGCACATAGGTACATGGTACAATACAGTACTTATAATATTTCCGTTCATCCATGTTTTTGTTTTTTTCTTAGTTAAATAACAAAAAACGGCTTTCAAACCAACGTCATTGGTATTGCAGTTTTAAATATCTAATTGAATACAAATGCGGGCTTTTGAATGAGTGAAATATGTTTTACGGTACATATTGACGTAAATAGTCGACAGATCATACAAAAAATCCTGCATATTCCCTATTGCCCCAAAACCTAGTACAAAACAATTCTATAATCTTGTGATCTCTACACAATGATTAAAAAGTAATGTCAATAATTGTAGAGCAGAATGTACAGACAAATACAACATGAAAACTTCCTATACAAATAGGTCCTAAAAAGTGCTACTCATAATACTCGTTAAAGACATGAACTTCAAAAATATCTATTCGGCTTTACACAACCTTCACTTATTTTAGGTTTACAAATTTCATATCAAATATTAAAACCAATTCATCTCCAAAAAGAATGGTGTGATAAAAATTTCACAAAGCAGCAATAGATGTTTTGGGGAAGTCAATGGCATAGAAGATATTTTTCTCTTTTCTGTAGGAGTCAAGTATCCCAGCTTCCAAGTCACTGGAGTAGTTAATTCTTTTATATTTATTGATTATGCTGTTAGTACTGTTTCTACAAAATTTTAAGTCGATATCTTCATCCACTTCTGTGATATAATTTAGATTTAGAGGGACATTTTAGGTGCTATTCTTAATAGGAATTTTTTGTATTATCTTTGTATCCACTTACTCTATAAATATTAGTATGCTTTTTTTGGATCACAGTGGACAATTTTATGAATGTTCTATTGTAACCCAAAACCGTGACCCATCAAAAGGGACTACTTCGTCCGGAGCGGCACCTATTTCTTATTTCAGAATGTATGCAACTGGTACACTTGCGTGCCATGACATTTTTTCGTATTTATTTTCAAAATATAGCGTAAAGTAATATTAGACAGCCATATTCAAACTTATTTACTCCTTAGTAAAACATAAAACAAAACTCGACCTGAAATCTAAAAATAAAAATAATAAACAATGCAAAAAAATAAATGAAAGTAAATTCTGAAAATACAAAAAATATATTATCAGAGTCGGAACATTCTAAAATTGCTAAGAATTCCTCATCTGTGAGTTTATTTGGATTTTTGAACGTGAGCATCTTTTTTGGCTGAGAAGGAACCTCCACTATATAATCCATGGTTGGCGACTTGAAAAACAAAACTAAAAACTGACACTAATTTTAAGTAATCTAATACCCCTACAACACGCTACTTGCAAAATTCATAAAGTAATGATCGTCGGCGTACTGGCATACCTACGGCATACATGTCTGACAGCCGCATCACGGGTAGAACTGTGCTGATGTACCTATAGTCAACGCCAAACAAAGTGGCGTGCACGTCATCAAGGTGGGTGTGTTGAAAAATTTACATTGTTGCCAAACTTTTTGTAAAATAATAAAATTTATTATTTACATATCTAGGTTTATAAGCAATATTAACCTCAAATGAGAACAAAAATAATAGTATAATAAAATTATAGATCTGTACTTGCATAATCATTAAGTATGACAATTATTGATCTGTTACCATCTCTACCAATATGTCTGTTATAGTAACCTTTTGCTATGCCCCAAATTAACTCAATAGGGTTAAATATACAATGGTAAGGAGGCAGACGAAGAACTTTGTGCCCATGTTGTTCCGCCAATTCATCAATCACGTATATTTTAGGTGGTTTGTTTCTAAAAAAGCAGTTATTTTAAGAATAGGAATAAACAAAAGAAATATAAACTGTTGACCAAAATATATATAATTAAGAAGCATTATGTACCGAGCAACAATACTCAATAGCTCTGTTTTAAACATTGTGTTTAAAAATGGTATGTTTTGATTTGTCAACCAGTCTTGGATATTTTTTTTTGTCCATGCATTGTTGGGCACTTTGTTCAATATCATGCTGTGATAAGGGGCGTTATCCAGTATAATCATAGATGGACTCTCCAATTTTTCTAATAACTGATGTTGAAACCATTTCAAAAAATTGTCCTGGTTCATCTCTCCATGGTAATCGCTCAATTTTGTTTTCGAAGAAAATATCGCTTCACTACCCTCAATAAACCCATTTTCATTTCCAGCATGTAATATAATGTATCTAAAATATATTAGTTTTAAATTTTATAGTGCAAATTGTGTAAAAGTACATACCTTTTACCATCTGTTTTAATAGCTTTCACGCTTTTTTGGTTTCCATTTTGCCAAGAGCGACCTATGGTCCCATTTTGAAATATCCAAGTTTCATCGAGGAAGACAAACTGGTATAAGGCCTCAACCTTGGCTTGATTGTATTGCCTTAGAAATTCCACCCTTTTCAAAGCTATACTTGGTAGTTCCATGAGCCCTCGTCGCGGATTGTCCTTAAGCCACTTAAATCCAAGATCTCTAAGCAACCGCCTTAAAGACGTGGCACTACCATCAAATAATGCCCTATCTCTTAATCGAGACCATAAAGTTTGTATCGTAACTTGTTCTTCTGAAACCATGTGTAATATGACATTATAATTTAGTTAACAAATTAATGCAAATTTCTGATAAGTTATTATAATAAGATCTTACTTTTGTGATACATATTATAGATCACTTCTCGAATGGCACTTGTATCCAATGTCGCTGTGTTGGTTACACGTTTAATATAACTCCGCTTTTTCTTGGGCGATTCTAAATTTGCATCACTTTTCACACCCTCGGAAATACGACTAACTGTCCTTAAACTAATTTTTAAAGCAGCAGCAACACGCTACAAAAAATGAAATAAAATTTCACTATTATTAATATACATTACATATAATTATTAGTAACCTACCTCTTGAACAGCATTTAAAGGCAACAAAGGCCCGTTGTTGTCCCTTTCTTGCTCAAAGTAGTGCATTAACGAGGCCACGAGTTCCTTACACCGACTATTTAACTGTTTGGGCATCTTTATATACCAAAATTGCCTTTATCTACTCGTAAAATGAATAATTTTGTTTTGAAACAAACAATTGTTGATTTACAGTATGCGGGGCCAAAGGATTTATAAAGATTTGAAATGCCACAAATTGATTCAGTGTCAAAATTAATACAAATGTCAGTTCCCAGTTTAAATAAGTTTCAAGGTGACAATGTGTCAACGCTGCGAAATCGGTTTAGTGCGTTTACATGTCGATAAGTGATTGGAGCGTTTGCAAAACATTTTATTTCGCATAATGCGTCTAAATTTATCAGAAAGCAACTTATGTGATATTTTAATAACAATGTTTATATGACTATTAACCATAATAAGAGAGTAATGACCATTTTACAATTTATATATCACATTAATATGAAACTGCAATAGAGCAATTGTTTGTGATAGAAACCTAGGCATTAGGTCGGGGAATTTTTATCGTGATGACGTGCACGCCACTTTGTTTGGCGTTGACTATATGTGCCATGCGCACTGAAAGGGTTAAATACTCAAAAAGAATATATTTTAAATTACTTGTTCTTACTTTTCAGAGAGTTGTTGTATATGACTTGCAGCTGTTTTGGCAATAGCAAGCTCCCTCTTCTTGACCTCTTCTTTGAAAGAACTTTCAGCTTGGTCCAACTGGGCTTGAAACTCTTTTAGTTTATTCTGAACTAATAACTCCACTTGTCCTTGATAAAAGTTTCTCAACTCCATTTTGCTATTTTCAATCTGTTTCTGCAGCTGTTCAATTTCAGCTTGAAATGCCACCTGAAAAATATGAAACAATATTTCAAGGAAGTAACGCTTTGGAAATAATAAAATAAGAGCCCAATAACCTGAGAGATATTTGATGGCATTACTAATAAATGCCATAATTTTTGTGAACATTATTGTTTGAAAAAAACAACAAGGGATTTTCAGTTAATCACTTTTGACGATATTGACTAACTAGTAATATAGCTTTTGTTCATCAGACCACAGTTGGCCAAGCAGATACAGCTTGTTTTGCGCAATTTGGCATCTCTTCAGCATTGTGTAGGCTTGGTCTCAGTGGACAATTTTAAACAAACTGAACTCAAAATCTCATTCCTCAATATTTAGTCAAATTCCAAAACCGTTTGTGATATCAGAATGACATCATATATAGGATTCAGTAATTATCTCAGAATATGTATGTCTTCCTTTATACCTCTTTCTTTTTACTATTCTCCATTTCCTTTAACAAAACCTTCTTTTGTTCAGTTAATTTCTCAATAATCGCTTTGCTTTCCTTCAAATCATACTGAATTCTTTCATATTCTTCTTTCAACATAATTAGTTCCTTTTGGCAGTTATCTATTGCTGATCTACTTTGATTAACTTCTTTCTTTGCTAAGTTTAATGTATTTTTGTTCTGAAAAATACAAATTTATGTTTAAAAACATGTTTAGTGTTGTCAAATATACTGAGTGACAAAAAAAGGTAAACACCTACGTATTTGCATCCGATTTTAATTATTTTTGGCATATATGTACAGTGTCCTTAACTAGTAAGATGATTAAATTTCTAGCTTGAAGGCCAAACTGTCGTATTCGACGATATACTGTACGCACACCAACCATCCTTCCATGCTCTTCAAACCACTGATTAGCGATGGCTCGAGTACTACTGAATCTGTCTCTCAGAGCCAGAAGTCAATGGCAAGAAAAATCGATATGCAAAAAATTCTTGAATTCTAATAAACATACCTAGGTGTTTACCTTTTCTTGTCACTCAGTATATATCATAATTTGGTTGAAGATAAACTTTTTTGTAGTCGATAAAACTGGGGAAAATGGTTTATATTAGAAAGTTCAAAAAGCAAAGTATATCAATCTTCATTAATATTGGACAGCATATTCCCAAATATAGAGCACAGGCTCAAGGCACTATTCCACAAACTGTATTCAAGAATACTACATTATTTTGTTTTACCTCATTCAGCTCAATTTCTTTCTGACTCAAAATATCTGAAAGCTGCTTATTTTTCTCCACTTCCCTTGCATATCTATCATGCAGCTCTCTGAGGTTATTTTCGAAGCTATCTACTCGATTTTGGAGCTCAGAGCACCGTTTCTCCAAACATGACGATTTTTCTTGATTTTCTTCTGCTACATTTATGGCTCTTGAGGCTTCTTTTTCATAGAAAGATACTTTCTGGAATTTTTAAATACAGAATCTCAATGAGCAGCAGTTGTTTTTGGTAAAATCTACTTATAAGAATACAAAACATAATGATCCTATTGTATGATGAGATAAGTCAATTTTATTTTAAAATATAATTAATTGAATCTAGGAATTTACCCTTGATAACTCTGCCAACTGTGCTGCATGCTTACTTTTCAAATTTTCTACTTCATCTTCCCAACCTTGTTTTTCCTTGTATACCTTATCCAACCTCAAGATAACTTTCTCCAGTGTCTCCTGGAATTGTTGCAATGCAATATTTTTTGTTTCATCCACATTCACAGCAACAGATAACTTTTGCTGAAGCTCCAAATTCTGATTTTGCAATTTCAGGATTAGATCCTCACAATGCTAAAGATATAAATTATATTATAAGACTTTAGAAATTAGTCAAGCAAGCATTTGAACAGAATGAATTGTTGATTCTTAATGTGCCAACTTGTCAGAATTAATGGAAACATTCAAAGAAGGTGAAGGATAGGTACATGTATTAAGAAGTACTGCATCATGCACATAAAATAGGGATTTGTTTAGAATTTTTGGTTGCCTGCTGCCCCAGATGAAATTAAAGAGGTTCCAAGTTTTAATGTAGCTTTTAGTTTTGAAAACCATTTACCTGTCTTCGTAGATTTTCTTCTTTCAACTTCTGAGATAGCTGAGCTTGAGAACACTGTAACAGCTGGGAATTAGAGCCCCATATATCTGCCAAGCTTAACAAGCCAAAATTGTCAGTCAAACCTTGCCCACTTTTTATTTTATTCTTTTTCTTAACCTTCTTTTCGCTGTCTTCCTGAACTTGTTTATGTAAGTTCAATATATCAAGAGCATGAGAATGCAAAGGATTGCTTAATAAACTACTCTTAGAAGGTCTTTTGAATGCAGTCATTTGAGTAGGTTCAGAGCTACTGTCAGAGCTTGGGTACTTATCAGCACTGGTATTTAGAGAATCATTGTAAATCTTCTTCAGTGTTGTTGGTTCACCACAATCATAGAGTGTGTCTCTTACACCCATGCTATAGTCAGGCACACTATCTTTTACATCACCTGCTTGCCATGTTTTTCCCTTGACTGCTTCAGGCTCTTTATTAGGAGCTAGGGCTTCCAGATTTTCTTGCTGTTTTTTCAACTCAGCCATGACATCAGTTACCTCTTTAGAACTTTTTGTTCCCAATGAGTCATTACTGTTAAAATCTCTATTAAAATCTTTTTCAAGGCTTCTGACTGCATTTAACCTCTTTATTGTCCTGACTTTTGATAGAAAGGTATCAATCTCTCCCATAGTATCATTTTTGTTGGGAGAAGAATTCTCTGACTTAGCACAACTATTTGGTAATCCTAAACAATTATATCGACTAGGAGTATGCCTATCTATATTAGGGCTACATGGTAATGAACTGAGTTTAAATTTTGTGTGAGGTTTCTGAGGCGTACTTTGCGTGCTAGTGGGGTAATAAACATTTTCACTACTGTTGTAACGTCTGGATTCTTGGCGTATATTTTGCATGTCATATGAGTGTAAGGAGTTTTCACTTGATTCTATTGACTTTAGACGAGTTTGGAGATTGTCCACACGCTGTATTAGTCTTTCTACTATATTATAATAGGGCTCAGAGAAGTCACACGACTCAGACTCCGAGTTTATTACAAAAAAATCAGGAGGGATCAGCAGTAACTCGTCTGTATCATCTGTGTCGGTCATCACTTGGTGACTTGCCCAATCTGCTAATTTGTCGTTCTAAAAGCGGTTACTTACATATTTTCTGAAATTTGATATACATTTTAGTGATAAAATACTTTATACAACCCTACACGTCTTTTTAAATTTCCTTCAACCGCTCCACTTCAAACAAAACTTTGTCAACAAACAAAATTTGACGTTTAGTGAATGCATTTCGAACTTTGACAAATGGTAAAGTGCGTTCCGTAAGTGTTCACAGTGTGAACGTTTGTGTTTCAGAGGAGCTAAAAGGGCTACTGCTAGCCTGTTTGGGAACTGCAATATAAAAGAGGACGTTCCAAAGGGCAAATTTTATATGAAATCTATGAATCATACTCATGATAGATTGGTGGATGAAACTTCAATAACAAGTTATCTGAGGAATAAGGTGAATATAGCTTTCAGCAGATTTCAAATTATGAACAAACGAACGATTCCTAGTATTATTTATTCCACGCGCATTGTTTCGATACTTTCGGTAGTTCCTCTAGATCTAGATCTCCAAGTAAGCAGCCGGCGCAACCACCTGACAAACGTGAACGGTGTTGTCGTCGTTTTAACGTGCAGCTCCCACTTCTTCAGTCTTATGTGTTTTGTGATAGAACCAATGGATAATGGATGTAACCAGTGTTGCCGAAGCTACCGATTTTTCGGCATTTCTACAAAAATGAGACTACCGAAATATCGATAACAATAAAGATATTTCCAGATTTTTTCAACAAAAATGAACTAGAACCAGAAGTAAAGTTGAGAAATGTATTCTATGACGAATGACTAAGAAGTTTTATGCTCCATACAAATCATAGATAAGCGTACACTTAGGCAGTCGAACACACAAGGGATTTGATTTGGGTTGCCTAAAATATGTACGCCCATCCTTTACTTCGCATTTCCTGTATTGATTTTAGTGCGAACAAGCAATAAGGAAACCAACACTCGCCAAAAGATGTTCCCAGAAACCTGTGTTGTGTACGCGCATACAACAATATGTTTTTTTTCCATAAACCTCGCTGCGTGACGCAAAAGACCTTAATCCACTGTTGATCTTGCAAGGGCCCTGATTTTTTTTACTTACCGATTTTGCTCTTGAAGCTTCGGCATTTCGACACTATCTAGCTATCAACCGATTTTGTGTTTTCCGGTTCGGCAACACTGGATAGAACACACTTCTGTAGTTTGTATTCAAGTTTCGTATTCGTACATTTTGTAGTTTGAGGTTAGATTTTTGTTGATTTTCGTATTTGTCATTACAGCTTGTCTTGGTATCATTTAAGATATATTGGGGAACATTGCCTGCATATTCTTCTCAATAAGTCATGCCTTACGCAAATCAGCCATCGGTCCACATCACGGATCTTACAGACGACAACTGCAAGTTTTACGTAGAAGACACAGACTTGAGGTAAGTTAAAAAACAGTTTCGCGGTGTTTTCTTACTGTTTAGCTGTATTTCAGTGTAGCAAACAGCATTCGACGAGTCCTCATTGCAGAAACTCCAACATTAGCTATCGATTGGGTGAAGCTTGAGGCTAACTCGACTGTGCTTAGTGACGAATTTTTAGCTCATCGTATAGGCTTGATCCCACTTGTGTCTGATGAAGTTGTGCAACGTTTGCAGTATCCAAGGGTAAACATTTGTATATATACCCTATTTAAATTCCCCATATCAGCACAAGACATAATTCTGGCGATGCCAGGTAGGCAGAGCAGTTTTTGTTTTGTTTTTTTGTAGGCTATAGATTCATTTTGTACCTGCTAAGTGTTCATTTGCGTACAAAAAACAAAGTACCACAAACAAGTTTCACTAGATTTATACCCAATTTATTATTGCCAACATTATAGAGTAACACAAAAATGTCTCTTGCTGATCAGCTGTTCTCCGCAGTAGTCATTAGAGCAAGTCTATTGTTTTTGTGTATTTTAGGACTGTGTATGTCCAGATTTTTGCCAAGAGTGTAGCGTAGAGTTTACACTAGATGTGAAATGCACCGATGACCAAACAAGACATGTCACAACTGCTGATTTGAAATCAAGTGATTCTAGGGTCATTCCAGCCACCTCTAAGCATCGAGATGATGAGTCATCTGAGTATGGTGAAACTGATGAGATTCTCATTGTCAAGTTGCGTAAGGGACAAGAACTGAAAGTCAGGTATGACTGAACTTTGGTTTTCTCCACTATTTTCTTCAGATTATTTTTTTAAAGCAACACCTAATATTTATTTCTTTTTAAGAGCCTATGCAAAGAAAGGTTTTGGGAAAGAACATGCAAAATGGAATCCAACATGTGGTGTAGCCTTTGAATATGATCCAGACAATGCAATGAGACATACATTGTATCCTAAACCAGATGAGTGGCCAAGAAGTGAATACACTGAGCTGGATGATGATCAGTGTAAGTTTATTTGAAGTTAGTTATGGTATTTCTAAAATCACTGACCATTTGATAATCATTCAAAATCAGAACTTACTAGCATGAAAATATTTGGTTGTTCTAGATGAGGCCCCTTTCAACTGGGAGTTGAAACCAAACAAATTTTTCTTCAATGTTGAAGCAGCAGGTCTCTTGAAGCCAGAAAACATTGTAATCATGGGTGTAGCTATGTTGAAAGAAAAATTGTCTAATTTGCAAACCCAATTAAGTCATGAGTTGCAAAATGATGCTCTTGCTATTTAAGTCTCATTTTTATATAAAACTGTATTTCAATAAATTAGGAGATGTATATTGTGCAGTTCTTTTTCTAGCACCCTATATTAGGATAATAAAACTGGAGAATTTTTACTAAGGATATATACATTTTTATCTTATAGATGACAAACTGACAAATTAGGTATTTATTGCTTCAGTGGCAGTCTTAACATGGTTCTCATAATATTCAATTTCATTTACAAGAGAATCTGCCAATACTTCTGGCTCTGGCTGTACACCTAAAAAGTCGGCTACTAAATTTTGTGGGTTTTTACCACCTCCATGCGCCAAACATTCTGTCCTATAAATAAATAGAGGAATAAAATTGATGATTGTGTAGTTTATAATCAAGTATATGTCAAGAATTCAGTTTGAAAGACAGACCAACTGTTTATTTGATACAAATATGTTAATGCCTTTGCATAACCATACACAAACCTGTATTTATTCCCACTGTCAGCATTAAAAGGATCTGTTTCAAAATACTGGTTCCAAATAGAATATGCCAGTGCTCGAGATACTAGATATGAATAATATTTAGCACCATAGCCCACTAAGTGACTGAATCTGTGCTGCCAGGCAGTGTTAGACATATATGGGATTCCATAGAAGGATTTTTGTGTTTCTGCTAATACTTCAGTGGTTGTACCTGCAGACAAACATTTCATATTGTAACAGATTTTCTAGGTAAGGTATTTTTGAAAAAGGTCAAGGTCAGGTCTGCACTAACCTTGTACAAGGAGGTAAATGGTGAGCTTGGGTTAGACCTTGATCTGCACGTTCAAAGTTAGTTCAAGGAAAAATTTAGTTTTTTTAACAGAAACCCCCTTTTTAACACTGGCAATCGAAATAATGTTACTTATCAAGGACAAATGTATGAGGATAGAGAAAATTCGTAGGAGTTTCACAGGATTGTTAACAAAAATAAATAACGCCAGACCTTTAGCAATGTTTGCAAAGTACTTCCATATTGACCTTGAATTTGACTGAGCCTCACTTTCAAGGTCATAATAGGCACAAGTAGTAGAATGTAAAATTTTTCATCGCTGGGGTCAAACAGGGGGATTACAGAAGTGGATCTATTGTGACCCCCCCTATATAATTTCTAAAGCAGTGTGTCCAGCCTTGATCCTTTGATCAGATTCCATAGCTTTGACACAGGGCCTTGCATGCAGCTTTCCACTGTTAGAGTTGGGGTTCCTACTATCTGAACCGTAGCCTTGTCAGGCCTTCACAGTGACACAGGAGATGCACTGGGGTTTCGTCATCATCTCTGCAGAAATGGCATCTGTCAGGAGACCCACTATGGCTCTTAAGGCTTGAGTCCGAGTTGGTCCTCTGTCAAAGTGGGCCTTCATTCTTTGATGACCTATTTTGCCTGCCTTTGCCCCAATTGGCAGTTTCGCCGTTCTAGGGACTTTTTCTTGGTCCAATTTCCTATGGACTGTTTGGTGCGTGTTCTTGTAACGCCACAGGAAGGCTCTCGTGCTATGATGCGATTAGCCGCACCCTGTCGGGCTAAAAAAATTCACCTTGAAATCTTAAAGGGGAGATCCAAAGTCACCATAGAGCTCCTTGTTACAAATTAGCCCAAACCTAACCTTGACCATTTTTAAAAAGATTAGCTGGTAAAAAAACAGAGCCGTTCTGTTGCACCCGGTATGAGAATCAATGAAAACAAGTTCAAACTTTGAATGGTCAGTGAACATTTACCTTTCAAAGGATGAATTCCATGGTACGCCTGGTCTATGGCAGCATAGAATACTTGTAGCTGCGTTTCACTAGCTGTAAACAAATGTTTTGAAGCACATAATCTTTGTACCATATCGTCAGGCATCGGTTCTTGCGTTTGAAAATGTCTGGCGAACTTTTTCAATACCCTGTGATCACAAGCAAAATATTCCATTAGAATTGAAGGAACCTCTGCAAAGTCCGTACTGCATCTGAAAAAAAAAGTTAACCTATACAGGTTAAGGGTAATTCAAAAAATGGAGTCAAGTAGGTAGACTCCGTACTTTCACACACAACGCCGTAATCAGTTGATAAATGTTCAGCACAAACTAGACCCCTGAGAAAAAAGTCAGTCAAATAGGTCCATACAATTACTTCATAGATATTCTTTCCCTTCTCTACCGGCAGTGCATCTGGAAACGTCGCCTCTCCCCGATACTAAACCCGGTCAGACAGGGAAAACGCGATCAGAGCATAGGAAACACTATGCTCTGACGCAGCAGAAATAAGTGTAATACCATACCAGAACAACAGAATACTCACCTACGACGCCGGGAGCCTCGGCCGTGGCCGGTAGGGAGAGAATATTTTAAAGGCTAATATACGGAAAAATCTATCATGTGTGAAATATGTCTAATAGGTATACATGAACTAACATCAAAAAAATGAGATAAACCCCCCAGCCAAAGTTTTTTACTTTTAAATTACTTTCGAAAAATGATCAGGATGAAACGTCAAAAAAACAAGTTTGAGTGATGTTCATTCTTTTTCGTTTTTTGCGTTTTTCTCTGTCGCCACTGGACCGATTTTTAAAAACTACAAAGCTTTTGCGTCCTTGGCATAGTAGTAACATTGTGTGAAAATTACATCGAAATCCGAGCGGTACTTCTTAAGTTATAGGCGGTAACGAGATTAGCGGACAGATAGACCGACGGAAATGACATGATTTTTCGTCGTGAGGTACGTGTCATGTAACGTTCCAAAAACAATATCTCATTTTCGAACATTTTCGCGACTACAATACTTCCTTGCCAGCAGGCGTGGGAAGTAAAAACAGTGGCAATATTTCTAGGGCAGAAAACAGATTCAAAAATAACACAAATAGTTCATATAATCATAATTATATTAAAATCTAAAATAACTATATATTTGGAATGATTATGTTATTGGCTTGAATTTTATGCTTGTAGTACTAACAGCATTACCAATTCTTAAAAAAAAATTCGTGGCTCAGGCTTCACCAGTGGCGTAGATTAGCATTTTGAACCTCCCAGAAACAGAAGAAATGATTTTCTACGCCACTGATTCATTTGAAACATTATCTTATTTTTGAATAAAGTATTCAGATTTACATGACTCGTCTCCCTTAAGAAATTTCTGTCAGACTACTGCTTTTGGGAAAAATGGTTTGAATATCAGGTAAAATCCACATAAAAAGCTTCAATCTGTTCTGATTTCAAAATACTCTGAAGTTAGTAAAGTTTGACATTATTATATGTACTGTCATAGAAGAGAAATTCCATCTTATCATAGCAGTATTTGAACAATAGTTATGTTTTATCTAAATTTAGTCTCATCAGTGGACGGGAAAATTCACACTGTGTTCCTGGATGGTAATGGGATATTTTAGGTCCCATGTTTATTGGAACATTTTGTGTTAATTTTGGATATACTTTCAACTCAAGAGATCCTGAAATTGGGCTTTTTCATTCTATATATCTATCATGTGCTCTCAAATTTTTTTTCGCTACTAAGGAATCGCCATTATTCACTGCATTCTCTCAAGGAGTTACAATCCTTCCCCTAGGTAAATAATGATAATGCGCCTCAAAATATAAAAGTGGCCGGCCAACAATGGCAGCAGACTTCTCCACCAAGGTATATGTACAGTAGCGGACAAAAGTTTGGAAACAAATATCAACATTATTATGAAATATTTCATATACCTAAATTAAAATTGTGAAGAACAGATAAGATCAATATTAAAGTCAACCTTTGGTTTCCGTACTAATACAAGTTTTATCTTATCAATATTAAAATTCTCTGAAAATGAAAACACGCTTTTTTAAATACCACAGTTTTTGTAACGACATAAGTATGGAAACATTTCAGTTTTGACGTATTTATTCCTTCTGCGATACTCTGATATTGCGTGCGGTATTATTAACGTCAGTGAGAATGGCAAAAGTAAAAGAATTTTGAAAAGATTTAAGAGACAAAGTGATTGAATTATTTAGAAGTGGTATCAGAAATGTTGACATTTCTCAAAGATTAAAAATGAACAAAGGGACGATTTCGAAAATTATGAGTAGATATCAAGAATGCAGATAAACAGCAACGCGGTCCAGGTGCGGAAGACCGAAAAAACCGATTATGTTTTGGATCGCTACATTAAACGTTTGTCCCATGAAGATCCTCGATTGCCAGTCACACAGATCTTCAAAAGAATCGTAGAGACGCTTGGTGGCTTCTGGGCTTTTTGGTAGGCAACCAGTGCAAAAGCCTCTCATTTAACTTGGACAGAACAATAATCGAATACAGTTTTATGGAGCGATGAAAGCATATTTAATTTGTTTGGATCTGACGGTACGGCAAATGTGAGACGTACAATACGAAAAAGATTCGACAAAAGTATATAAAATTATTGAGAAAATAGATCAAAAACTTTACGAAGATATTCTTAGTGAACACATGCTCCCTTTTGCTGAAGAAGAAATGCCTTTACGACGGACATTCCAGCAAGATAATGACCCCAAGCATACCTCAAAATTCGTAAAGGACTGGTTAAGACTAAAAGATGTTAATGTTATTACAAGGCCTTCGCAATCCCCGGACCTAAACCCTATAATACATCTCTGGGAGTATGTTAAAAGACAACTGACAAGAAAAACTTTCAAAAATAGGAACGATTTATTTGATTATGTAAAAAATATTTGGGAAATATCCCAACAGACGTCTGTAAAAAATTGGTGTCTTCTATGAGCAGCAGATGTCAGGCAGTGTTGAATGCTAAAGGCTATCATACCAAATATTCGCTAAACAATATTTTTAAATATTTTTGTAGATTCATTGTATTTAATTTTGTAATAAAAAATATGTTTCCATACTTTTGTCGTCTCATTTTTTGTCATAAAATGATATGAAGGTATTTTAATGCTAGTCTGTAGTACCACAGCAAACACAAATTGTCATTTGTATCCTCAAGACTGTAAGCAAACTGTATGAGAAAAAAATAGTCCTTAATAATAAAAAAATAGCGCACTTTTTAAAAATTACTAACAATGTTTCCAAACTTTTGTCCGCTACTGTGTGTGCTATTTTATGATTGAATTAAATAAAAACAAATGTTCAGATTACCTAGTTCCACTGACATGTTGATACTGAGTTCTAGCAAGCATAGAGTGCATTGCATGTCCCATTTCATGGAACAGATTGTCCACCATGCCCGGCGTTAGTAGTGATGGACTTGACCATCTTGGTGATGGTAGATTTAACATTAGCACTACTATAGGTATCTGGTAGCTACCACCTTGCAAAGTTCTTCCTAAAATGGAAACATGTGCCAATCAAATAGTAATAACTATACAGCGTGTTGCTCCTAAAATTCAAAGTCAATGTTTGGGAATGATAATGAGGAACACAAACTTACTGTCATACCAACAAATATTACCAATGATGGACTGTTACAAATTTTAAAATCTATTTTTTTTAAATATGTGTTTGAGAAATGAAAGAGTGCTGATATAACGAAACATCTGCAAAATTAACTGGACAAAAATTGGCCTTTTTTTATTTATATTAACTTCCAGTATCTTTACATGTACAATAAATTCATGAAAAGTGTAATAGTTTTAGCACTACAATAGATAGATAGATATTGTTTATCCAATCGATCATTAAAAAATGACACTGAATACGGCAAAAAAATTATACAGGGTGGTCGATTTGTAACTGACTGGTTTGTATCTTTAATATTTGTGAAATGAAATAAAATACGACCATTTTTTTCAACTTAATCTTTTATTGAAACTTAGAAATTATGTACGAAAAATAATATCAGACAAATGTCCGCCTCTAGAAGCCGCGCAAACCTGAGCCCTCTTGATTACATTTTCCATCACTTTTTGGTATCGCTTCCGTAATATTGTTCTTCAGCTGCTCTACAGTATTTGGTTTGTTGACATAAACCGTATTTTTCAATAAATCCCCATAAAAACGTCAGGAGCCGTTAAATCCGGTGACCTTGGCGGCCATTTGACATCACCAAATCGATTTAACGTCCCCGAAATATTGTTGCTTCGTCCTGCTGGAACCACATGTTTTGCAGGTTAAATTGTTGGATTTGAGGAGCCAGAAAGTTTTGCACCATATCACGGTAGCGCTCGTCAGTGACAGTAAGAGAATTACCTGCAGCATTTTCAAAGAAGGAAGGTCCAATGACACCTCCATACCAAACACCGCATCAAACTGTGTCGCGGACGACAATTCTGCTTATTAACAAATCCGTTCATATCGAAGAGGGGCTTCATCGCTTATCAGTTATCAGTTGTAGGTAATTTCGTTATTTTAGGTATTCAGCTACAATATTGCATGACTGTATTGTCGGCGACTTCATGGTCACTAGGCTGTAGTTCCTGGGTTAACTGAATTTTGTATGACCGCAAATGCAAGTCTTTTTTAACCAGTTCTTGAGAACGATGTCTGGTAGACGTCTCATGGCGCATCACTACACTTTCACGAACTCTCGATATTTTCCGGAGTTCGAAAAGTTCGAACACGGTCCGACCTTGGCAAGACAAATTTCCACACCAACTGACGAATGGTGTTGACACTGGGCACATTGTTTCGACCAAGATTTTGTCGTAGCTTCCGAATCGTTGCAACAATCGACCAATTATTTAAGTAAAACGTTTTAACAATACGGACGCAACAACTAGGGCGCCACCTACTGAAATGCGTGTATCCAAAATGGCGCACAATTTAAATCAGTCAGTTATATATTGGCCACCCTGTACATGCAAAACATATCAGTGAAAGAAAAAAGTAAAAATTACATCACTTAAACTCAAATTTTCTTATCCAATAAAATCAACCACACCATACAAACACACAAAACGCTTTTATAAGAAGAAAACACATTAAGAAATTAGCTTTAAAACATGAAGAAGAATACACAATAAATAACTGAAAATTGACAAAAAATAGAGAAAATGAAATAAAACATGTTTTTTAATAGGAACAAATAAGCTTACAAAGTAGCACGTATTTGTTGTAATGTACAAAGCACCTAAAGAAATTTTTGGAAATCAAAAAACCCAAAATAGCTGAAATTAAATAACAGGCCAACTCTACACCTGATATTTTATTTTTTTTTATCAGTTTCTTACGTGTAAATGAAGATACTTAATACAAACATAACAAAATGGCCTAATTCAAAACTTTTAACACTTTGACTGCGATGTGTATACCTGAATATACATAATGGCTGAGCACAAACTGCCACGTGTATATATAAACATACACAGTCAGTGAAGAACGTTGAGCCGCGTGTATTCTACAAGGGCACGTTTCACGTGTATTCCTAATTGCATATAACTTAACATAGCATGACCTGGGCCGCATTAAAAATAATCTTAGTCCGAGAAAAAAAACTCCGCTATTTTTCTACTAACAGTATAATAATAGACGTGTCTATATAGTTTATAGACAATTTTGGTGTACAACCGGTCGCTCAGACGGAAATTTAAGGAAGTAAGATTCGATAATTAGTTGCACCGGTGGCTCAACCGGTGAATTAAAAAATACGCCTTATGATATAAAGACAGGTTTCTTAATTCCAGGAATATGGCGAGCGAAAAAATCTTATCTTTGCATTAACAATAATTTAATGAACTTTACCTCCTCTTATGGTGAAATGACAGTCTTGTCCTGGTTTTCCACTCCTTTCATAGAAATCACAATAGATGTACCCCAACAATCCTTCTTTTTCATGTTCTACAGCTAGTTTATAAACATCAGGAGACCAACATTCTCCTTTGGTAACTTCAGTGTTGACCAATTGTATCTTGTATAAAGATTGGAAGATCATATTCAACCCATCCATGCATGCTCCTAAGGAAAAAAATGGCGAGTATTCTTTTGATGATACCTGAAATAAACAATTCAATTTCTTGTATAATCTTGGTCCTGTATAGACAAATTTACTACTATTTTCAATCTTGACTCAATTCATTCAGGAGAAACTTCCTCAGCATACCTTCAACCAATCCTTTTTCGCTTTCTGCGTAAAAAATGGCACATCCCATGGCCCCAGTGGTCCACTTATAGCGCTTTCCTCTATTTTCATCTTGTTCATCGTCGCAAAATCTTTTTCGGCTTTATTCCAGATGCCTTTAGAGAGCTTCTCCAAAAAAGACAAAACTTTGGAAGGCTTGTCAAAGATAGAACCGCGTAACGCCCTTTCGGAGTATGTACTAAAACCGCAAACCTATAACAAAATTTGAGATAAATATGTACATGATGAATAAAAAACAAGAGCATGATTTCCAAATCAGGTCAAAAAGTTTGAGGTAAAATCTGTAGAAACAACACCAACCCATTCCACTTTGGAAATATACTGGAGTCTAGTGAAATCAGACATTCAAAGTTGTATGTAGTTTTATCCTTATTTAGTCTCATGAGTGGCACAGACATTTACAATGCCATATACAGTGTATTCCGTCTATAATGTACAGGGATATAACATACTTCCTGTTACTACGTACTTATTTCATTGGACCCGCCCAAATAATCTTGTAATTTTACTGGATGTAGCATACAGATTAAAATTTGAACTCCTGCTATAATGTTCAATATTTTTACTCACTTAGTAGTCATATTCTGGTTATAACGTACAAACAGAGTAATTCTCCACCTCTGTCGGGGATTCCCTTTAATCGATACTGGGAAGCTTCACCGCTGTCGCGCGTTGGCAGGAATGCCGCCGGCGCGGCACCGGGGATTTCCAGTAATCGACTCTGAGAATTTTTATAGCGTGGAATGAGATGTCAGGTAGTTTTAGATTAGAAGTTGCATTTAACTGTGCCAATTTTCAGTATTCATTGTTTTGTTAAAATGACAGATACGCGGAAAGCTGTAAGATTGAAAGAAAAGATAGACACCATTAAAAGTATCGACAGTGGCATCGTAAATTACGAGAAGGAAAAATATGACAGAAACAGCAGTTTCTACAATTTGGTGCAATCGTGAAAAAATCGCAGAAAATTAGAAACCACGAACGTCCAGATGTAGATCAAGTTCTTATACGATGGGTTGAGGTGCGACGAATCGAAAATATTCCTATAAGTGGTCCAATTTTAAAAGCAAAAGCGGAAGATTTATTCAAGGGATTACGCGGTGGCGATTTTAGGTACACTACTATCGGCAAAGTGTCTGGTGAAGCAGGAGATGTTAACAAGGAAGCTGTGGTGAACTGGTCAACGGATAAATGGCCAGAGATGGCACAAAATTACATCTATGAGGATATTTTTAATGTGGACAAAATCGGACTATTTTACAAGATGACTCCAGACCGTGCACCGAAATTTAGAGGAGAAAAGTGTGTGGGAGGCAACAATCAAAGCTGAGATACACCGTTTTGGTTTGCGCAAATATGACAGGTAGTGAAAAATGTAAACTTCTTGTTATTAGTAAATACGAACGACTGAGGTGCATGAAAAATATTAAAAACTTGCCTCTCATTTATAAATCGAACATACGCGCATGGGTGACTTCAGAAATTTTTATTGATTATTTAAAGGAGTGGGATGAAAAACTAAGACGTCAAAAAAGAAATATCAGATTAGAATTTTTGCCTCCCAATTGCACCTCGGTCATACCACCGATGGATCAAGGAATAATAAAATGCCTTAAAACATATTACCGTAGATATTTTATGTATCGCCCAATCCGAACATTGGATAATGAGGATTCTTTCAACATAACAATTTTAGACTCGATAATATTAGTTGCACAACCATGGAATGAAGTTTCAAAAAACACTATTGAAAACTGCTTTCAACATGCTGCACAAAAGTGTTGATGATGATGATTGGATCGTCCTCCTAAGTGATTGGTTGCGAAGTCACAGCCCAGACGTAACTACTATGGAAAAATATCTTCCTGAACTAGATAATTTTACGACCATCGACGATAACGAAAGCGGCGATGATGATGGACAAGTGAACGAACCAATTTAAAGTTATTCTGACGCACTCTGTGCAATTAAAACTGTTACTAATTCCTTACAATTTACTGATTACGGAGCTGATGATATAATTTTACAAGCCTCGTTAACAGTTGAGAAGCACATCGAGAATATAAAAGTGTGTTCAAAACATCAACAAACAAAAATAACAAGTTATTGTTTCGAAAAATCATAACTGTATGCGTAATTACGTATGTAATTGTACATATGTATTTAATTTGATTATTTCCTATTTCAATGTTATATGTAACATATTCATATTACTATATCTTTTTTATAATTTTATTATTTGTTTATTATTATTCATATTTACCAAAATAACTAACAATAAATATTGACTAATTAATAATTAAACAACAAGATAAATCCTCTTCATCAAGGATTTATTACATACCTAGAATGTATTTTTAGTTATTTTAATTGAACCAAATAAAAATTTACATACGTATTTATTTTTATGGGTTTTCTTTATGGTGTATCTATAGTTATAAAGTACTCATTTTTTCTCCCTAGAGGGTACGTTATAATTGGAGTACATTTAGGAACTGTTTGTGATTTTTCGATAAACTTTCTACTCGTGAAATACTACTTTCTGAATCACCGAGTATAATATTCAGTACTTCCGTGTTACTAAGACTTCACAGACTGACGAATTACCTCAAACTCAAGAGTGGTCCAGGGTGAGCCATGACCAATTGTCAGTTTATTCAGTTAGGCATGATTGGGCAGCTTTCAAGAAATATTACAAACCTTAGCTAGTTCATCCCTAGCTTGCAAAAGGTGGGTGAGGATCTTATCCTGTGTAGGGTCGGGATGGAGAAATATCCTGTATGCCATTTCCCTTGCAACTGGGTCAATCGAATCAGTGTACAGGCCTGTAATCACAATTGTGTCACCATCACTTGAAAACACGTTTCTCAATGTGCTTGGCAACTGAGACTTTTTCACTACTCTGGGGGCTGAAGTTCCTTTAAAATAGGAAATAAGACATGATTAACAAAAATCATATTAACTAAAAAATTCGTTACATAAACAGCCATTAAACTGTATAACATGAATCCTCACAAAAGGTGGAACTAGAATATTTTTAAATTCACAGGGTGTTACATTCCAGATCATTGAATGAAACATTTTTGAACACCCCACATAGACAGCTTAAGTGATTTAAAAAATTTATAGGTAGGTTAGGTTAATTCACTACTGGTTTTATTGCAGATTATCAGGTGGCTTCATAAAATAATAATAACTATTAAACTGTTTAAACCATTTTAATTTCCAGAATAGTCCTGTGATGTATGCTGAAATATAGTTCCACTAAATAAAATTGTATACCTGCTACAAACTGCTGTCCTAAATTAAGTATCATATTCGTCAATGTGACGACCCTATTTCTTTCATCTTCAGGCAAGTGTATCCCACATTGTTCAAAGTCCAATAAAAAAAGCTCTCCAACCAATTTGTCTGTTTCAGTGTATGGGATAATATCTCCATTTTGTACTGCATGTTTAAGTGCATCGTATAGTTTGATGTTAGTGTTCAATTTCTCTACTATTCCACTGACTGTGATGCAAGCACTCTCTGCAGCATTACGATAGTTCACTTCTGGATGGGCCAAACGTATGAATTCTGCTAAATCAGCTACCTAAGATGAATTTTAAATAAAAAAGGTTCTACTTGTCTTTGCTAAACAGGGATTTGACATAATATCTCCACATAAAATAATTATTATGACAGTAAACAAGCATTGCAGACAAATAATATTCCTTGGACTCAGCAAGAGTATCATAACTTGTCTAGCCTCAAACTTATGGATCATTTTCTGTGGTGATAAACAGTAATATTGTAACAAATAAATTCTGGAAAACCTTAGTTCCAGAATGCAGATAATATTTTGAACCCCATGTTTTTAATGCTAATATATTTCGACTTGTACAATGTCATTTCAGAAATTGTATAGCCACTACAAAATGAAATGTTTTGTCACTATTACTATAACTATAGTAGTTTACCTTTGACCTTTTGTTTTCTCATTACATTCATTATATACAGTAATGGACAAAAGTATATAGACAAATTAATATTGTGCTGTATTTCTTTTTTAACTTGTTTTATTAATACACCAACCTGTATACACAATTCGTTATAGCATAATACTCACTTATGCATAAATAAATTCATTAGACTCGCTTCAATAAAAGATTAATTGAAAAAACTGGAACTATCGAGGACAAAAATATATAGACAAAGCAAAACAATTATAGAAAAAAGAAGCAAAGTTCATTGAATTATAGAATACCAACCATGTTTCTATTTTGTAGCATAACCATTATTATCAATCACTGCCTGGCATCGTCTCAGCATAGATTGTAGAAGTTTCTTGATATAAGATTCATCAATCTGTCTCCACTTTTGCTGCAAAGCAGCAAAAAGTTCATCCTTGTTTGGATGATTTTTATCTTGTATTTGCTTATCTAAGTATTCCCATAGATTTTCAATGGGGTTTATATCGGAGACTGTGAAGGCCATTTGAGAATTGGTATTTTTTCATCCAGAAAGAATTTCTTTGCAAGATTTGAAGTGTGCTGGGGGTCATTATTTTGCTGGAAGATTTGCTTTAGTATATCTGTTTATGCAAACGTATCCATGATGCCATCTATTCTATGTAAAGGTCCCATCCCAAACCCCCGAAAAGCATCCCCAAACCATAACAGACCCGCCTCCATGTTTGACAGTGGGTAAAGTGTACTTGGGGTTCAATCTTTGTCCACTAGGACCTCTAACGTAATGAACACCATCTGATCCAAACATATTGAACTTGGATTCGTCACATACCCTCTTCCAGTCACAGATGCTCCAATCAAGATGCAACCATGCAAATTGTAATCGGTCCTTACAGTTTTTCCTCAAGATTAGCGGCTTCTTACTCGGGCGTCGTGCAAATAACTTCAAATCATTTAATCTTCTACTTATAGTTTTTGTAGAAACACTGACAATTCCTTCTGTCTCGATTTCAGCTTTTTTTGTCTTGGGGTTTTAAACGGATCTTTGGATTGAATTACTTTTATTAATCTAACTGATCTAGCATTTAGTTTTCTAGGCTGACCACTTCTCTTAGAGGCTTCCAAGACCTTTTTGTTTATATTTGTACAGTATTGCCCAAACTGCTTTATGCTTCAGCTTCAAATTTTTGGGAATGTCTACCTGATGTTGACCATCTTTGTATAACTCAATGATCTTAGTTTTCACATGGAAAGAAATTTCTGGACCGTGTGGCATGGTCTTAAAATCACTCAACTTATTCCACAATACTTGATGAACACAAACTAATCCACTTCTGAGACGAAACTGTACTAAACTAACATTGAAAAAAATTTGTCTACATATTTTTGTCCTTCATAAAAAAGTGCTTATATTCAGACTTGTATTGTGTTCATTGCAGATAATGTAAAAATAAGCAATTTAGTTTTTCTACTAATAACACATTTATTTATGGAGCAATGAAATATGAATTCGTTTTCTAAAGGTATTTAGGTAAATATTCATATTTGTCTATATACTTTGGTCCATTACTGTATATTATAAAACTAGAAACTACTTAAGAGTCTTTTTACATTTATGTAAATTGTTGTTTTTAATTTAATTTGCTAGATTATTGAAACATTTTAAACACATGTAAATAGGGCTTTTTTCTGTGGAGGATAATCTATGTATTGGATGATTATGATGTTTGAGTATCATAAACAGTTTTGATTCTTTTTAGTTAGTTATCCCATTTTCAATTTTTCGTAATTTGAGGGTGATCTCTTTTATTCAAATTGTATTAAATTTTATATTAGGGTAATTATGTACGTAAGGAATTTTAACATTCGTTGCACAAAAAAGTACCTGGCATAAACAGTCAGACATATCGTCAAAGATTTCTACCATCTTTCTCTTTCGGCTACTACTCAAAGCCTCATCTATTAGTTTCTCAGTTTTAAAAATGCATTTGTCCTGGAGCATGTAGAAGCTGTCATAAGATATCAGCTCGGGAATATCGAACAGCCCTGTGGTTCGTTTTCTTAATTGCAATCTCTGCATGGGACGTCCGTTGAAAGCTTCTGCTAGTGGAGACCATATCGATACAGTGGCTTTTAGCAGGGTAGAAAGCGAGCTTACGCGTAACAGATTGCGTTGACAGTTATAGATTAGCATTTTGCCCGATTTATGGACGGTAGACGGGCAATATTTGAATAAAAACCGAATTTACTACTTTAACCTAGCATATTTGTTTTGATTTTCATTTTTGTTACATAACCTCAAATGTGAGTCTTCGGTAGGGATGGCAATTTTTTAGAAAACATCGATGTTTGGACATCGACAAACATCGCCATCGTACACTGATGGAGCTCGCTCGCAGCTCGATGTCTCCAAACAACCACTTTTTAACGTTTTCTGTTTTCAGTTCAGCAACGAATTTATCGATTGCTATCGGTTTTAGCAGAATGGTCATTTTATCCGTTGGTGGAATTCCCACCGCGTTTTTTTTCTCGATTTCAGAACCATTAAGTTAAAATAAAAAACGCGATTGCAAGTTCACGATAGGATAACAGAAGGATACCGACTGCAATATATTTCAGTAAAAAGTATGGTTATAGAGGAAACTGCAAGATATGAGATTGTCAAAATTAGGAACACATTGATGATCATTAAATACTTAACACTATGCACAAGTTGAAGGGTGCTTTTTAAAGTACTTCCACACATCACTTTTTAGTGGCATTCCGATTAATTAACAATAAAACAGCAAAATTAAAATCATTAAATGTGCCGTTTTTAGTTTATGCTATCCCTTGGGGAAGTACAGAATAAAGAAAAGACTACAGCTTTCTAGGCTTTCAATTTCTAAGCTGCCAGTCTTCGTTTAGAGATGATAGCACAGTTATACAGATATACTTGGGGTATAATACCGATGTTAATGATCCTTTCCATGTCGATACATCGTCATAAAACCATCGATGCCTAAACCCAGTTTTTAGGTCCATCATCACAACTTGCTCTATCTAGGGCTGCGTTCCGCAGGTTCTTTGACCTTTAACGTGCGAGCTGGTGGGTAGCACAAAATATAATATACACCGAGGTGGATAGCTTGAAAAGTACTTGAAACTTGACTGCATGGCTCTGTTTTTGACATACATGATTCGAGCATAGCCTAGCACAGCGGTGGAAGTCGATAACAAACACCCTGCTGTCATACCTGTTTTAACAAGCGTTTTTGTTGAACTTGTTGTGATCAAAACAAAAATAACTCCAAACTTAAATGCAACTGTTCAGGTCGCCATCTTTAATAACAATCGTTTCACTTTTTTGTGAAGTGAATGTACTATCATTTACAAGAACATACGAACATACAAAAACGGTGTACCTAAGTAATCAGAGTTTGACAGTGAGCTTCTCACTACTTCTGGATTAGATCATGGTTGCTGTTTGCTATAGTTCCGATCTTAACCTGAGTTACACTGAATTAAAGTAGAAATTACCACTTCAAACGTAAAACTTAAGTCGCAGGAAACAGTTTTCCATTTCATCAAATTGTGTTTCATAAAATGCAGTCTACACGGCAGCTTCACGTTTCATGAAACGTTTGTCCAGTGTGAAGCGCCCATAAGGGTTGGACACAAGTTTCTCACTCAGCCGTCAGAGGCCACGTCAGTGCTGTCATCTGTCATTGTGACACGCGTATTTTTTTTACCGCCTAGCGTCTAACCTCATTTTCTTGGTGGTGCGTTGCTTGGTGCACGTGTGTCGAGCGTTCTTTTCATTAACTAAAATCTATCTAAATGATCAACATGGCTAGCGAATTGGAACAGAAAATCATTCAGCAACTGGAGTTTTACTTCGGTGATATCAACTTGCCTCGAGACAAATTCCTACAAGAAAAGATTAAGGAAGATGAGGGGTGGGTGACCATTGAAACTTTGCTTACTTTCAAAAGGTAAGAAATTTGTCAATTTAATTCTTCGTTTAAGTAGCACTCAAAATAATTTAGCGTGTACGATCAGTTATCAATTTATTCTCGTTTTACTATGTACATAAATCCTTATCAACATGATTGCAAGACTGCATGAATCTCTGGGTTGCAATTTGTATTCAATTTTTAGAAGAAAGAAATGTATGCGAAAAGACACTTTTCACAGCAGATATTTTCAGAACCTTAACATTAACACCATGTTTATTTCAAAGTGACATTTCTTTAAAATGCGTTTTAGATAAATCTACCACCAAAACCACATTTTGTTATTTTTATACCTGTGCATTTTAATGATTAGCAGCTATCCTTAATGCTTAAAAATTGTTCATATTTATCATCTTCACATAATGAGCAACTATGATTGCAGTTATGGATGAATATACCAGCAAAATCTCCTTCGGATGGACACTGATAGAGCCGACTTAAAGTGTCTGTTCAAGAGGGGTGGCCATATAAAAGAAATACAACAAAAATTGTGTTTTTAATAAAACTGAATATATTAAAGAAATTGAGATATTTAAAACGTATTTGTACCCGTAACCCAGGAATACTAACATTAATTTTCAATCCATTAATACTCGCCTTTGTAAAAATTTTGCTCATAAACTAATACACATCTAATGGATATCAAACACTTACACAGTAAGACTACTGTACTGTGATCACACTGGCTCACTAGAAGACTAGATAAGAGCCCATGTGCAAATAGCAAAAAAATAGTAGCATTGTAAGATTTACGTTAGGGTTAATATTTTTAAAATAAAAGAAAATTTGAACTTCAGAAAAATAGCTTTATTATGCTATACAGGGTGTCCAATAAGTACCATGACAAACTTTAGGCTTTGGACTGATCTCCCAAACAACAAAAACTTACCTATATAAAAGTGTCACTGTTTTTGAGATATAGAATTTTTTCATAAATTTTAAAAAAATGAACCTTTTCATCTGTGGACTGTATTTGCATGTACAAATAAGGTAATACTTTGTTCATTTTTTCTATAAAATACTTCTAGATAGTTGCTTTATCATATACAAAAGCCATGTAGTAAAAAGATATTAAGGAACCAGGACTGTTTTAGGATTTATAACCTGCTGATACTGTTTCCTCATCTTTCATAAAATCATATCAGGAGCAGGTAATAATAATGTAGCTTTGTACTATTTAGCATGTCACTGATTGGTAACCAGTGCAACTTGAATTTGAATTCAATAATTACATTGTAGTGTGTGTCAGTCACTTACAAAAGCAGCTATCACTTTTTTCTGTTCCAAATAGTATGTGTGGTGCCTTTCTGAAATCTGTATTCATTGAGCAATCTTTTTATTCAATATAATGCAGTTATAGCCCAGTACATTTTTGTTTCACCACAGATGGTCAAAGTTGAGGAAAAAATATCAGGTTATAAATCTCTTCCCAACCTTATTTGATCATGGTTCCTTAATATCTTTTAACTACATTGCATTTGTATATGATAAACCAACTATCTAGAAGTATTTTATAGACAAATGAACAAAGTATAACCTTATTTGTACATGCAGCACAGATGAAAAGGTTATTTTTTTAAAAATTTAAGAACAAATTCAATATCTCAAAAATGGTGACACTTTTATATAGGTAAGTTTTTGTTATTTGGAAAACAACCAAAGCCTACCTTCTCCTTAAGTTTATCGTGGTACTTATTAGACCCTTGTATACAAATTATGAACAAATGTATATAATATGTGTGTACATACATTTATGTAGTAACACAAAACAATTAAATACAGTCACTTTAAGGATGCAAAAATTCATATATTGTCGTTTTTCTCCTCTTTTTCTTTAAAATGGCATCATGAAATTGTATTTCTAATTTTGGAAGATGCTCCAATGACTATCTCCCTGATTTTTGACAAAACTTTTGAGCTGCTTGGTCTGGGTAATAACTTTACCATAATTAAATAAACTGCATTCAATTTTCTTTGTTAACTCAAAAGCTGTACCAGCAGTTTCAACATTTACTAGCAGGCATTTGAGTATTAGACTTCAGTAATAAGTTGTAAAACCCTCTATAATCCCTCAGTCAAGTAATTGACAATCTGATGTACAATTAGAGGACAAAAATAAAATTTTTATATTATTTCAGTGAATGTCTTTTGGATGAGATCCCACATCAATCTAAGTCTAGCAACCAAATATCATAATTTGTCTTGTCATCCAAGCTTTCTTATTGCATTTCGAAGTTACATGCAGGTCATTTATGATAATGTTTTTAAAAGCTCTGGGTCTAGCTGCCTTACCAGTGACTAGGTGTTTTTCATTTTCACCCACCATATTTACATAGTGCAAAATTGTAAACTTCTCTTTCAGATCCTTACCGCCAACACGTCTTTCCTTCTTTAATGTGAGAGCATATTGTCAGAGCCCTAAAATACAGGCCTGTCTCATCAGCACTATAGATGTCTCTCTGTGAATATCCCTTAATCACAGAAGGACATTTTTCAAAAAATGAAACATCTTCAGCATTAACCGAAGCTCCTTCTCCCGAAATTGCTTTAAAACCTTATGACAAGCTGCTATAAACCACTCATAACACAATTTGTCTATTGTGCCATCACTTGTCAAAAAGCTTCTTTCAGTCAAATTGCTGTTCAACATCCATTTCTTTAGAATATTTTTTTATGTTTAATTACACCTGCAGCTTGTGTTTTTCCAAGATTAAAACGCTTGGATAAATTCCGTACACTTAACTTCTCCTTATCGTGAACTTCAACAATCTCAATGTTTTGTTTAAGCATTAGAATTTTTCTATTTGAAGTTATTTCTACAATTAATTTGTCACACACTGTGTCTTTTCCTCATAGACGTCAGACTAATACTGAAACTGAATAGAATGTTAATCGAAAGCGTGTAACCAAACAATAAGAACGGTAAATACCCGACCAACTGGGGTAAGTCCCTAATTCACGCCAGGCAGAAATGCACCACATAGGTTGCGTTTGTACCGAAAGATTAAAGTCGGTCAATCCTCGGAAATGTATTAGCGATACTATCAACAGAACAAAAATAAGACAAGATCCTTCTTTTCTGTTCAAGAGAATGTCCGTCCAAGATAGAGTTAATACAATTCAAATTATAAGAGAGTTTGTCGGGACCATGAGAAACTGTTCCTTTACACGAAGTGTTCGTGTAAGAGGGATGTTTGCGAAGGGGAATTTCACTGTATTCCAAATAAAGCATGATACTGTACACTACTTGAAAGGTTTATTTCCACAAGTTGTCGAGTTGTTTGAGATTCTTTTCAAACACTGTATATTCACCCAACAACCTTCTTCTATAATAGTTAATTACATAGTTTTTATTGGATTTAGATTCTATGCACGAATTATCCAACCATGACAATTTATTAGTATGCAAAAACTGTTTTTTATGTAGTATTTGATAGGTAGTTATAAACATTTAGCATATAAATGACTCATTTGATGATATTTTAAGGTTGGCGGGCCTATCTACAGATGCAGAAGTGATAGCCAATGCAGCAGAAAAATCAGAAGATAAGTTAGTAGTGGTCAGTGAAGACAAAAAGAAGATCAGAAGGAATCCTGACAAGCCTGTTCCTGAATATGATGCTGAAAGAAAAAAACAGCTTATGGAGAGAACAGCATATGCCAAAGGCTTCCCATTAGATGAAGACCTAAATGACATTATAAACTTTTTGGTACCACATGGTCCGATTGATGCATGTAACAGACGTGCAACCAAGGACCATAAGTTCAAAGGTTCTTGTTTCATCATATTTAAAGATGTGGAAACCTGCAAAAAGTTTGTGGAAGCAGAAAGTATCAAGTACAAAGATACAGAGTTGATCCGGAAGATGCAGGGGGATTACTTTGCAGAAAAGAAGAAAGAAATTGAGGATAAGTAAGTATTAGTAATATTAAACAAATGTAAAAACACATGCTAGGATATTAATTTGTAATACACATATGTCAGGTACTTGTAGTTTGTTGAGTAGGAAGGTATTAAATATTTTATGATATTTCTTTCAGGAAAAAAGCAAAGAAAGAGAAAAAGCAAGCCGAAGAAAAACCACAAAAGCCATTGGAGTTCCCCAAAGGTGCCATTATACACTTTGCAGGCTTGCAGGAGGGTGATAGCTTAACAAGGGAAGAACTAAAAGATAAAGTTAAAGAGGTTGCGGATATGGAGACTGCTTTCATCGATTTCAAAAAGGGAGATTTAGAAGGGTAATATATTTTTTGAGTTCTGTTTTTTCAAGGCCTAGATTTTGATACTTTGCAGAGAATGAGGAGATTGCTTCTGAGCTGTGTTAATATAACATACACAACTGAGTGACAGCAAATGTCCTTTGTTTGATCAAAATAATGGTTCCAATTGCTCTATTTCTAATGTTATTAATTTTCATTTCAGCCACATTAGATTCCCAGAGGAAAACAATGCAGTCGAATTTGTGAAGAAGTTGAAAGATAGTGAATTAGAAATTGAAAAATTCAAACTGAAAGTAAGAGTCCTTGAAGGGGATGAAGAGGTTGAGTATCTGAAGAAAACCTCAGACACAGTGATTGAATTAAGGAAAAAACAGAAACAAAACAGCAGGCAGAACAGAAAACGCAAGGGCAATTTCGCAAATCAAGGAGGCAGAGATGCCAAGGCTAAGAAAAAGCAGGAACAAGAATAAATTTTGGTTATTATATATTTTATGATCGTATGGACTGAAAATTGTTTTTATCATTTGTGATTCTCTCAGAGGAAATTTTGAAGTTGACAAGACTTAACTATTCTTCTCTTATTTTAAATGGTTTCATTGCCATTACTGTTTATAGATATTTAAAATGACTAGAAATGCCACAATGTGGGTATTAACATAGAAAAAGTTATGTTAACTTGTCATGAAAATAAATAGGTACCTTAAGTCTTAGAATTGTTACATTTTATGTGCAGTGTTCTTGTTCATAGTCTGAAAGGTGTATTTCTATTAATATTGTTAAGTTAGTGGATTCTGGAAATCCACTCCATGTCTATATTTTTGTATGTTTTAAAGGCTCCATATTTAGTATAAATATAAATAAATATAAACTTATGTTTAGAATTGATATGCTTTTCGTTATTTTTTGACATGATCGAAAAGGTTTTAGTCTTTTAGGTCATCAGATTCATTCTTTGTACTTGAAGAAATACGGTTTTTCTGAACCAGCGCATATACGGCAAACATGAAAAATTATTCCAAACAATATTTCATGATTTTTGGTGTGTGTATAAAGGTACATTTTATTGGCATTATACAGTTGTGTAACATAAGCTCCTTAATTGATCGTTGTGTCTTCCCGCGAATCAAGCCGTGATGTTTGAGATATTATAGAACATCACTAATGATTCACTTTCCCATCATCTTGCTGATCGCACAAAGCAAAACTATATGTGAATGTTACATGATCAGTATTTACCGTGGTCTGTCATCCTGAAATGAAAATTCATGATGTTGAAAGGCGTGTGGCGAACAAAACAGGCCTTTGTCCTAAGACAATTTTCAACATTGTTAGAGAATATAAAAAAGACAAAAAATTGCCTCCACCACACAAGAGGCTGCATTACACGAAGCTGTTGGATACAGTTGATAACTTTGATCGGAATGTCATCAGACGCAAAGTCCATCAATTTTTTGAAAGGCAGGAACTTCCTACCATAGACAAAGTATTACAGGAGGTTAATAGTGATGAAGACTTACCGACTTTCAAAAGGACCACATTCTATAGTTTACTCAAAGAACTCCATTTTGAGTATAGAAAACGGGACAGAAGTAGTATTTTGATGGACAGCGAAGAGATTATTTTATGGAGAAGAAATTATTTAAAATCAAAAAAATACCGTGACCAGGGCAGGAAGATTTATTACTTGAAATAATCCTGGATAAATGCAGGACATACAAAACCTAAAGTATGGACTGACTACCATTAAATCAGCAATACAAGGCTTCTTAGATGGACTAACCACTGGCCTAAAGAATCCGTCAGGTACGCGTATCTAACCAATTCGTGTTGTAAAAATGGTGTCAAGTAGACTGAATCTATGAGCCCACACTGATAACTTAGCTACACTAAACTTAACTATATCTGGTAGATTTGAAACCAACACCTGTTAGATACTCAGCTTGTATTATTATAAGTTTTCTTGAATACTATCTGAAATAAATATTTCCAGGAAAAGGCAAACGATTTGTTATCTGTCACATTGTCAGTGAAGATGGCTTTGTGCACGCTGCCCTATGGGCATTTGAGTCAAAGAAAACGACCGACTACCATGAAGAAATGGATGGTTTGAAGAAACGGCCCCACAGCTTGATGACAATGCCGTCATTGTACTTGATAATACTGCATACCACACTAGGAAACCATAGAAAATTCCCACAATGTCCACAAGAAAGGCAGAAATTCAACAATGGCTCCTATAAAAACACATTTTTCAATGAAAATATGGTCAAAGCAGAACTCATCTATCTAGTCAGGCAGCACAAATATAAATATAATCTTAATGTCATTGACGAAATGGCTAAAAACCAAAATAAGACCGTTTTAAGGCTATCCCCTTATCAGTGCGAATTAAATCCCATAAAAATGATTTGGGTTAATATAAAAACCTATTTGGCACAAACAATAGAACATTCAAATTTTCTCTATAAAAATAATCATTTACTTTTATTCCAACATCATTGAAGAAAATACGGATCTGTACAATCTCGCTTTTGGGCATGTTGTGTTTTGTCTGGTCGTAAATGGACTACGAATGGGGTATACAATGTCAGTATTTATAAGGTTAGCTAGAAATCCATTGACTCAATGATCAGTAAATGCTGATGGTACTGACCACTGTAAATTCTGATCGTGTGACATTCGCTATCGACCTGTCTTAGTCTTTCGAGCCATTATTTTAGACTGACTGAACATGAGCAAACTGCAGTTAGCTAGGTAGACTGCCCTACTAACAAAGGCCCCCGTATCCCCAAATATTTCCAAAATTGAGATATTTGCACCAAACCGATAATCATGATTTATGCTACATATTTATATAGAGAAAACCCCGTATTTTACATTTTCAAATGTTTTACGAAGGAAAATAGTTTCCATGTAAACGCCAAAAATTACATTTGCACTCAATATACTCCGCATATTACTTATTTTTAGTTGATTCTGAAAAACAGCTTGTGCTGATGTAACCCGCCAGGTAAAATAAAGGCCATTTAAAAGACCCTGGTATGTACGCAGTAGATACGGGCTTTTAACTAAGGGAAACCGTCGGTGCTCTCCATGCCAGGTTTTTTGTAGGCATTTTGCCGTCACTTTATTCATCGGTTTCGACTTGTCGGCATGTTTATTATAAATTGAATCCCTCTACATGTTTCATTAATATATCAGATACAAATTATTACCTTTTCTGAATGAGTTATATTTTTATTAATAAATAATACGATATTAAAATATATAAAAGTCTCTTGGCGCAGGTATACATTTTTATCATAATTACAGAGTTAAAACAAAGCATAAGCCGAATTTGAATTATACTTGGTTTTAACTAATTACTCTTAACATAATACGTTGCGTTCTTCGCCCGTATATCGCAAACTAATAGCTATGGCCTAGTTTCGCATACATTTTTATAAAAAATGATTGCTCTGATATTATAAATATGACAAAAGATCTTATTTTATTAGTCAAGTAAAAAAAAACAGCAAAAATCTTTAACCGCAGTTTTCTCAAACTTGTGCAAGTGGAGATACGGGGGTCTTTCTGGATAGGGCAGTGACTGTCGGAATCGTAAGGCATTGGAGCGGAGTACCGGGTAACGAGGGAGCTGATTATCTGGCTATGATGGGGGCCACTGACTCCTGCATCCGCCCAAGCCTAGGTATAAGCAGGCGTCAGGTTTTCGCCGCAATGAATGAATAGGCATTTAGGGACGTAGGAAATGCGGCGAGCAGAGCCGGACCTAGAAACTATTTTTGGACGTCCATATGATGAATTTGAAAATACTATCCTAAAAAAGCGCTGGGAAATGGAGCTGAAGATTCCTCAGGAGGAGGGTCTTGGCGTCGACTGAAAATTGAAGAGCACGTTAGGGGTCGTCAGAAAATCGAACAAACACGTCCGAAATTCGATATGTCGTGGGGCCCGGACCCCAAGGATACTCCCCTGGATCCGCCTCTGGTGGCGAGAAAGAGATGGTTGCAGGCCAACTGACAGGTTCGCAGCGGGCCCCGATAAACGTCGGTCGCGCTGGCCACTAGACAGAGGTAGAGAATCGCTCAATCCTCTGGTCGGGGGTTCTCACCCGCCACTGTAGACTGATCAGTTACTTGATCCTTGTAAGGGTAGGCAGGACACTCAGCGGAGTGGTCGGACATCCTAATGTTCATTATGAGATCAGGATGAAGTAGAGGGCAGTGGAATGACGACGCGATTTCCAACCCTACTCTGCCTCGGTGACGGTAGAGGGCGCCAGAGGTATTGTGATAATCCAGGAAAATTAGCTCTTACACATGCTGAGCATAAAAGTAGTTGGAAACATGTTTTTTCGCACGGCAGTACTGTAAATGGAATATTTGCTCGATGTTTGTTGAATAAGACGCATTCTGTAATTTTATTTGTCTTCAATGATCCAGTTTGACTGACCTATTACAATCATATAAAGAGAAAAAATAAGTATTTGTAGCTAATCTCAATGGATGCATCGCTTGTGAAAAATATATCCTTTAAATTATCTCTCTCAGGTAAGTTGTGACAGTGTTATTCTCAATAAAATGCTCAATACTGGCTGCGATCCATGTTTCGAGCAGGACACAAACCCTTCTTTGTGATTAGTCGAATGTGTGACTATATCGAAAATCCTGCCCAGTGAACATAGCGACGTCAAAATTTCGGCATTTTTAGAGAACCACTGACGTATGCCGATCAACAAAAATGACGTCATTATAAAGGTCTAATGTTACACCCAATTCGTCGTCCATACCGCAGACAGGCGTATCTGACAAAAAATCAAATTCGAGTTAACGGATTCAAATCAACAAGGTATAGCATATCTTCAATCCCGCAAAGTGGCGTAACTCTAAGTAGTTCGCTCATAGAGATATCAGCATAAAACTAAACGACGTATCTCTCAGAAATGAAATACAATACACCGCAAATAGGCGTAAATGAAGATACGCCTACATGCGGTGTCCATTTTTTGCTACTCTCTCAGTGGTAACTAAGATATGTCCTTTTGACTTACAGAATACATATGATGTTTTGTCCGAATTGAGTCACACCTTTGCTGCAGTCGAGATTTATAATCCGGAAGATCCGGACTATCATCAAACTTGTGAAGTTAAAAGCTGTAAAGGAGATGTGTTCAGTTCCAGCTTTCAATGCTCAATTTTGCTAGGTTGGAAGCATTTTGAAGATGATACCCTATCCTGCCAGGACGGACACAGGACAGTACAGAGCAGTGTACTTAGCAAAGAGAAACAGGAAGAGAGGCGCCCTGAAGATTTTTTTGTAGAAGGTTCCCAGGCAGAAGGTGATAGGAAAAAAAAGTCAGAGAAGATAAAAGAAGAATTGCAAAAACGTTGAGGAATCAAGGCGAAACATATATTTCGCCTGTAACTAAGAAAATTGTGAAGGAGAAAGCACTTAAGGGAATCTGCAATATACAAATGTGTAAGAAAAGGAAAAGGATGTGTTATTTGTTCAGCAGTCCTTTAAGAACAATGATATTCTCACAGTTTTATAGTCTTGGTGACCTCCAACAACAAAGAACTACAAATAGCAATGATCCACGCCGTAAGCAAACACATTATTTTTTCTTACCTCTAGAAGGTATCCGACAATTAGGTTGTAAAAAAATGTTCCTTGGGACCCTTGGGATAAGTGAGAAAGTTTGCAGAACCGCAGTAAAGAAATTGAATAGAACAACGAGTGTGCTAGAAAAAGAAAATCGTGGAGGTCGACGGGAGTTACAATCATCAAGAGACATAGTCATTAGAAAAAGTATCATAGAGCACATAAATAAGTTCCCCAGAGTAGAGTCACATTACTGCCGGAAGTCCTCAACTAAACAATACCTACATGAAGATTTATCTCTGAGTACAATGTACCACATGTACAAACTGGAAGACCAACAAACAAAGGGAAGTTTTTCTTTGTATAGAAAAATTTTCAGATCCATGAGCCTCTCATTTCACAAACCAAAAAAAATACAATGTGGCCTTTGCAAGTGTTACAGAGAAGGATCGGAAGAAGTAAAGGCTAATTTGGAAAAGGAGTACTTGGCCCACATTTTAGAAAAGGAAACGGTAAGAGAAATAAAGAATAGCTGCAAAGAAAAAGCTAAAAATGATACAAAGGTGCTACATTTGATCTCCAACAAGTTATATACTTACCAGTTTCTAATCATTGTTCCGTATTTTATAAAACACGGCTTGCTGTCTACAATCTAACTATGTATGAAGTGGCATCTCGAGAATGTTTTTGTTATACA